CTATCTCTCTCTGAGTGAACGCATTTAACCCTAGAAAGAGAGACTGTGTGTATGTGGGTGGGAAGGCATTTGTGATGTTATTAACTTTCTTTAAACAGTGCGTCTCAATCACCAAATTAATTTGGAACTTCCATACTCCAGACAGAATATTAAATTTTGTTCCCTTCCTCCGCTAGCTCTCTCTTTTCTCCTTCATCAATCTTTCTTTCTTTCTTTCATTGCTTATTCTCTTACACATAAAACTTCTATCCTAAAATAGCAACACAAAGTTGTCATCATTATTCCTAAAAGGTTGGGTTATAAGAGCAGTCATTTATGTGAATTCTGATGTCAATTAAATCCCATCATTTCTCCTAAAAGCTGTCAACACATTATTTTAGCTTCAGAGATAGTTTTAACGTCAAGAAAATGCCATTTCAGTAGCACGCAAGCTTATTGATAATCCGTGCATGAGATATAGAGGGAGAGAGAGGACCATTTCGAAGGCAGGTCGGGGTAAAGAATGTTTGGTCACTTGTCACGCCAGCAATTTTAGGGCCAAACAACTTCTGCAATAGATATCTTGTTAAGACCTGCATATTGATAATGGTATATGGTGCATCAGGATCAGGGTAAAAACTGCACATTATAACTTGAAATCGATAAGAAAGATATTGTCAATAATTCTATAGTAGCTTGGAACAGGAAATGTACCCCGAGAATTCCAAAAACAGCTAAATGAATTAGACATGAAGCATAGTTCAATATCTTAGGCAACTCTTGATCGGATTCCTGAAAATGGAGGGAAAAAAAAAAGGTTAGTATAAATATAATGAATTGAAATGTTTTAAATATTCATCTTATAAACTTTCACCAGCAAACATTAAAAAAGTAAGAGACCCAAAACCTACCAAAACAATTGTTAAAGGGAGCTCACGTTTGTAATGTCTTCCGGACCCACTTTCTCATCAAGAGAAACTGGGTTCATGAGCTGACCTGATGCCATTCCATAAGAGACAAAGTTTGATGCTGGAATAGGGGCAATAACTCCTGTTGCTGTGGTGCGGTCATTACTATTAGGCATGTGGAAGCTGCTACTCTCACTGTGCCTTCTGCTATGAAGAGCTCGATCCCCAATGTCTCCTGCCTCAGAAACGCTCTCACTCTCGATATCATCGTCTACATGATGGCTTATGCGCCTTGATAGGGTCAAGGAGTTCCTACTAACTGAAGAACTCCAACTGTCCATCCGCTCCATGAACTGCTCGTGATTGTTTCCTCCTGAATTAACTACAAATGCGCCATAGAAGCCAAGTAAAAATCAGCATGGATATATCCAGCATCCATCACCATAAGTCTTTTTTATTCCTTTGTTCCTTTCCATTTCTTTTTTGACAATTAAGGACGAAGTCAAGATCACATCATTTATTCATTATCATTGATTGACACACTATTCACATCGAAGAAACTAGCAACGCGAAAGCAAAATAACTGCTACCAGCAACTTACAAAGTAATGAAAAAGAAAAGTTCTCAACTAAAGCAATGGTACACTTGCAGGACAGCAAGTCTCCTGTCTCCATATAAGAGTAAAATCAAAAGACAATTCTATCCTCCAAAAAGAGCGAAACATAGCATACTAAAATGAATTGTTTATTAATTATTTGCTAACTATTAAAATGAATTATTAACTCGCTCATTTTAAACATGCAGCTGATAAATCAAACCGCACTAAAATATTTGTTACTGCCATGTTGGAAATGGTAGAAGTCCAAACTTCGAATATTCACGAGTCACCTTGAACATTTTCTTTCTCTTTTCTCTGGTGGCTGTCAAAATAGAATAAAAGATTGACGGGACCATAGCGACTCATGCACCAGCCGTTCATGGGCAATTTCAAATGAACAATAAAGCTAAGAGTAGAACTTTGGTATTACCTTAATACCAATATCCAGATACCTAAGTCTGCTGTGCTGGTATCTGTATATCATCTAAAAAGTAAAAGTCCCAGCGCTCTATGATGTCATCATTTTTCCCGTCCCACTCAAAATCTATAAAAAACCGTCATCACACTATTTCTATTTTTTTGAATAAATTTTATAATCCTGTAACATTCTCTGAAAAATAACCAAAGGTCTCTGGCAAAAACAAAAAAAAAAAACAAAAAAACAAAATGTCATTCATAAATATCTCTGCATGGAACGAAACAGAAGTGTTACATTTAGGTGAATATTAGCTGATATTTCCTTATAGTAAAAATCCAAAAGTAACTTCTCATTAATATATATATATATACACGCACATATGAACACTTACGAGTTCGTAGCTCCCTAGAATTTATCTACTTACGACAATCAAACCGGTGAGAAATATTGAAAGACAACATCAATGAGGAAGTTGAGGATGGGAAGAAGAAAGAGAAGAGGGTTAGGCACGGTACGGTACCTCAAGAAGGACATGGAATCCGACAGCGGAGGCGAACGGTCTCGGAACTCGGCCGAATGCAGGCGATGGGAGGAGACGTTTGAATCTGATGAAAAAGAGAGGAGAGAAGCAGAAGACGAAGAGAGGTGGCTGTGGCGATTTCCTCCTCCCTAGGCTTGGAGTGCATGACTCTTCGTGCTTTTTGCCAAGGGATAAAAGCGGGGCCTGGAAATCTCCACGTCTACCTTTTCCTTCCCATTTGTTAACTTCGCTTTCAATTTTTCTTCGGGCCAAAATGTTTTGTCACTTAAAAAATTTAGTATGACCCAAAAAAAAAAACAAATTAGTCAAGTGAAAGATAGCCTAAAAAGTAAAAATGATTAATTAAATAAGTTGAACCTATTTTTGTTTTTTACAATAGAATAAAACCAAGTTATCTGAATAAAAATAATTTTGGGGAGAATATCAGTAAAGGGTTTAGAAATAATTTAATTTCATAAAAAAACCATTAACACAGTACTCCCTTCAAATTAAAATATGAAGTATTGATAACAAATACATGATTTTTAAAAAATGTTAGTGGAAATATTAATTTAATAAAAAAATTTATATCTTTTTTATTATATCTTTATTAAATACTTTATATAAGTATTTTAATAATAAAATTAAAATTTTGATGTATCATTAAAAATAATAATAAATAAAAACATACGTATGATTGAAAAAAATTATAGTTATTGAATATCTTATATTTTAAATCAAGTAGGGTGTGGGAGATGTCCAAGAAGAAAACAACAGACGAAAGAACACAATAGTAACGAAGGAGAATAAAAAACGAGTGAACGCGAAACGTGCCTCAGTAGAAAGGGGAATAAACGGCGCCAATCAATCACTCAGCCGCATTTGATACGTACTTACGTGGATGGGCCACGGGTCGTAGCCACAGGTGTCTGCATGATGTATGGGATATTTTAATATTAAAAGATAAAAAGAAAATAAAATAAAATATATCAATTAAAAAATAATTATTTATTGTACTCAAAATATCATATTTAATGTATTTAAATAATAAATTAAAATTCAAATAATAATTTATCCAATATTAAAAGTAGTTTTCTCATGTATATTAAAGACAAAATAATTATTTATTTTATTTTAGAGCATGTAATTTCTTCAAACATTTGTATTTTTCTTTGATTAATGTGTAGAAAAAGTTTGAAATCAAATTAAAAAATATAATTTTTACTAATTTTTCCCTCATAAAAAATAAAAAAAATATTTTTTCTTATTCGTAAATCCATCATTGACTGTCTCATGTAAATTATAATTTAAGTAGTAATTTTGTTTTGCAATATCTTATCCTTATCATAAAGGTAACTATTTAAGGGCCTTATGTATACTTCCTTCATTTAAAATATAAAAATATTTTAATTAAATTATTTAACATAGTTATCTATTTTAAATTAACCTTATTCTTTTCATATTTACCCCTATTTAAACACCCGATAATAAATATAAAGTAAACTATCAATAGGAGCACTTTTGAAAAAAAAAACATATAATTATACTTCGAAAGACTAAAAATGCCTTATATTTTTAAACATTCAACTCTTCAAAAAATAGCTTACATTTTTAAACGGAAGGAGTATTAAAGTATTTTTGAATCCTATATTGTTTGCCCATGCATGATCCTAAAAAAAATAAAATGTATACTATAAGAAACAATATACTATAATTTATGTCATAATTGTATTTATAAATTATAATTATAGCCAAAAATAAGAATAAATAAAAATTGTTTTATATTAAATATAATTTTAAATTAAGAAAATAGCATAGTTAATATTATAGTTCTTTCATGTCCTATATATAAGTCATTTAATTTAACCACCTCACTATAATTACGGAGATGAGTTAAATCATTAGTTTTTTGTCTAAAAAGGAAAAAAATTAATTTTTCTTTATTAAATGCATCATATTTAAAAGATAATTTCTCTCTTATATATAATTTTTTTCCTATATTCATAAAAAATATAAATTTTTATTTAGCTTTGTATTTATTCTACTATTTATTATCATTGTTGCATATCAACACTCACATTTTTCATTGCAACTCTCATATTTATTATTTATTTTTTACTTTTAATTTTACTTTTATTTTTAACCAAGGGTCTCATGACTATGTTTTTAATTATGAGCCCCACATTCTTATAATTCTCTCAAAACTTTTTCACTTGCACAAAAATAAAAAATAAAATAAATTTATTAAAAAATATATATTAGACTTTACTATAATAGATTAGGGAAAATCTGAAACAAGGTTCTTTGAAGACAAATAATTACTCTCTCTATTTAAAAATATAAGACATTTTTTGAGGAGTTGGATGTTAAAAAAGTAAGACATTTTTTAGTCTTTTAATGTATAATCATTGCCTTTTTCCAAAAGTGTCCTTATTGATGGTTACTTTATATTTATTATAGGGTAATCAATATAGATAAAAATAAAAAGATAGGGTTAGTTTGAAAGTATGTAAAAATTTTATTAAAAATGAGATTCGATTAAAAATACTTTATATTTTTTTAAGAGAGGAAGTACACTGTAAGACTAAATGATTCTCGATTTGTGCGTGTCATCTTTGCACAAAGGTCATGTTAATCTTTTCTGTATCATTTCAATTTTATCGGATGTCCCCGAAAGGGATTAAGATTAAATGATTTTGATATTAGTTTATAGGACTAAAGTACCTACTTTTATTATGGAAAGATAAAAATATCCTTTATCTGTGTATTACTGACTGAAGGAAACTTACGGAGAGGCGGGCGAATCAAACCAGAAGCAAGAAGAGAATGACAGCCGAAGCTTATGAGCTCTCTCGTTCAATCCCAACGTACTTCGACTTTGGAATCCTCCCCCCATCCCTAACTCGTACGATGTTTATTTACGCATCCCACCTTTTTCATTCAAAAGTGGCTGCAAAATAAGTGGAAGCGAGACTTTCAAGAGGGCCCTTGTTTTTAAAGGCTTTATTATTTAATAAATACCATTCATCTTCTGAGAGATTTCAATTTAAAAGTTAGGGATGGGACTAATTATTAAAATTTTTAAAAAAATTTAAAATTTTAATTCAATTCAAAAAAATTAAAATCAAAATAATTTTAATGATAAAAAAATCAAACCCTTCATTTATTATATAAAATCATTAGTTGTTAATTTTTTTAATTTACTTATTAATTTATCAATATGAGTTGTAAATTGTATCCATTTTGTCAGACAAGCAATAATATCAGTGTAAATTATAATATTTGTCAATAATTTATAATTGATGTTAGTAAATTAATAAGTAAAGCTAGCAATTTAACTACTGCTATTGCTATTTGTGATTAAATAACTAATGTCAAATCTTGTATAATTATTGACATATGAATTCATATAATTTACAACTCATATTAATAAATTAATAAGTAAAATAAAAAAATTAATGACTAATAATTTTGCATAATAAGTGAAGGATAATTTAAATTTTTTACTGTTAAAATTATTTTCACTCTAATTCCTTTGGACTGAGCTAAAGTTTCAAATTTTTTTAAGACCCATCAGTGATTAAGTCCATCCACCATGATCCTTAATTAAAATTCTCCCTTATCTTTACCCCTTCCTACTACTATTAGGGTGCGCCGGGCGTTACGGTCTAGAGCCCAAATTCTCATTCTCACTGTCAATAAAAGCCGAATATGAGAATTAGCTTAAGCTGTCAAATTTAATGGCTGATCTCTTGGAAGAAAACAACAGACAAAACAACAAATTGTAACGGGGAAGAATGTAAAACGAGTGAGGGCGAAGCATTCCTTGGTGGGAAGGGAATGAGACGGTACCACTGCGGGAGTGGTAGCCACAGGTTCCTCATCCCTTGACGAAATGCACTTGCAAATTTTTTACACTAAACTTATCATCCTACTCATTGCAGCTTGATACCTTTATTAGGGCTGCGGGTTGAGGCCCGTGATCGGTAGCCCATGAATAGCGGTGTCCTTAGGAGTTAGGGCTGTCTATTTCCGTCCATTGGTTTAGCCTATTAATTTTAAAAAAATAAATCATTTAATTTTTATAACCTTGACTCAATTATAACTCAATTTTTTAATTTTAATTTATTATAACTCAATCTCTAAAGTTTTGACTCGATTATAAATCAATCCTTAAACTTTACCTTTTACCTCTTGCAATTTAGTCCATGAAGTTTCAATCTCTTAAATATTGATCTCTATATTTTAAAAAATAAAATTATAAATATTAAAAATATTTTAAACTTTTAATAATTTAGATATTAGTAATAAATTTTAAAATATTTTGAATCTTTATAATTTTATTTTTACACTATAGGATCAATTTTTAAGAAGTTGAAACTTCAGATACTTAATTATGAGAAGCAAAGTTTAGAAACTAATAAATAACTATGTCAAAACTTTAAAGATTGAGTTAGAACGACTTAAAATTCAAAAATTGAGTTACAATTAAGTCAAAACTATAAGGATGAAATGATTAATTTTTTCATTAATTTTTATTTGATGGCCTCCCATTGGATGCAAGTTGGTCCTCTATATTCATACTGAATATTTACTTAAACCTTGGATCAATTATTATATATGTTCGGCAGCAGTACTTAGAATTCTTGTTAAGCTAGCCACCTCTAATATGCCTTTCTTTAATATTCTTATAATATTCCAAATTTTTAATTTTATTTTTTTTTAATTATTAATTTTATATAAAATAAGAGATATTTCAATAAACCTCACCCTTAAAAAAAAGGTACAATCTCAGCTTGCCTTTAAATCTAAAGTTAGTTGACTATTAAAAACTTTATTTGATTGACAGATGTACACGTGATATGTTAAGGTGGATAGTTGATTAATAAAAAAAAAAAAAAACCTATGCATCCTCATCCAGTCTACTTATCTTCATGACTTCATCAGCTTTTGCTTCTTATTCATCATTGACCAATTTTGTATATTTTAAAAATTGATCAAGGTAATTATATTTTTAATAATTAAATTTAATATATTTTAAAAATAAAGAAAATAAAATAAAAATAACTTAAAATTGATTCTACTTTTTTAAAAACAAAAAATGAGAACAACTAAATGAAAAACATTTATTCAAACAAATTTTAAAATTTTTCTATTTGTAAAAACACAAAAAATAATTTTAAAAAATGAAAACAAACAAACCCTTACATTCAAAGCAACTAGCAATATACTGTCGATGATGCACAGGATATTCTTAATTTTTATATAAATTACTATTAATATAAAAATTTAAATATTATGCAATGTATGTATGTTGTATGTATTATGTGTGTTTGTGTGTGTATATATATATATAAAAATTAGTAAATAGAATTTAGTACAACTATTGTATAATTGGAATATTAAAACTTATCAACTATCAA